TCGCCACTTGGTCATGTTGGTAGGAAGACTTAGCGGAACGCACATTGTCCTGAATCTATTGTCTGCATGATCATTTCCAAAGTTGAACCGTGGACGTGGTACAGTCTTAGACTCTAGTCGCCGCCGCGTCAATCTTGTTTCTATCCGTAATACCAAGTCTATGATTTGTCATGCCCTAGTCTCTTGTGTGCCAACACACAAATGTTGTGGTACAGCTTGTTTTGATTTGGTTCAATGTTGAACCACTACATTTGCGGGCATGGGAAGTCATAGACTTGGCATCAGACAATTTGTCATAGAATCGACCGACGCGTTGTTGTGTGGTGCTAAGAATTGCGATATTCACTGACGATGCCGACGAAGCGTTTAGGAATGTACCACATCTACGGTTCAACTTTGGAAATGATCATGCAGACAATGGACTCCAGACTAGGTGTGTTGATTTAGGTCTGCCTACCAATATGACCATGTTGCGAAAACAGGGTCAAACAACCTTGAGGATCAAAGCCTGACATTAGCCATTTGATAATTCTGATTTAGAACCGGTATTGCATATAGACGCTTACACACACACACACACATACTCGAGCAAAAACAGAAGGACTAGTATGAAAATAATTAGCCAAGCCACTATAAATTTGTCTGGGTTTTTAATTTACTGTTAATTTAATTGAGTCAATATAAAAGGTAAAATAGAGCCGGATAGTCTTTTTGCCCTCGTGTTCACGTGACACTTTGACAGGAATGAGTTCCAGCTCTGAGGATGTCCACCGAATGATGGACGAAAGCACAGCCCGTTTTCACCCGAAACAAGACAGGAAGTCTTGTGGTCCTCTTCTGGTGAGATCGACTTTCGAATCTCTTCTTTATGCACTTTTATACGAAATGAAAGTCCCCCCATCAATTAATACATCTAATGTGAGATGTATTCACCATATTTCATTGAAGGCGATTAAGGATTGGTTGTACAGTTTTCCCACAATGATATGAATTGAACTGACGCTTTCATTGAATTTCACATACTGGCATATTTATTTTCTTTTCTTAGTTGAGACTACATATAAGAGGCAAATGTAGATCTGGACAGTCTTCTTGACCTAATCTTTACTTGAGAGTCTTTCTAGAATGAGTTCCAGCTCGGATGATGTCCAGCGAATGAGGGAGGGAGTCCCGTGGACTGCGTCAATATGAAGGTTGTATAAAAGCCAAAGGACTGCAGTACAACGCGATTCATCTTTCCTCGTCTCGTCAGATCGAGCCACGACTTTATTCTCCCTGCACTTTCATATGAAATTAAAATCCCCGCAATAATGTTATCTGCTGAGATTCCCTTGAAACCCAGTTTCTCTTCGTATATTTATTAACGTGTTCATGTGGTCAATTTTATGTTGGAACGACTTGTCGTCCCATTCGACAAAAGCGTCGGTAG